GCTATTTATATTAACACATTTAAGTTTAAATTTTAACAGTGCTAATTTAAATTATCATTGTAAAACAATATTTGAAATTGTTTGTATGAGAGATTTGACATTGCGAATTGCTCGGTGTGGCAATCAGTCTCTTATCTTAATGTCTAAAGCGTCTGAGTGCGAATCAGAACGCGGTGGGTTTGATTCCTGCAGGGGTGAAAAACATTTCGTCCTTGTTTCTACAAATTTTAATTAATACAACATGTGATAAAATAGTGTAATTAACAGTTCTGATGTTTGACTTTATAATCATAGTGGAACTATAAAGAGGAATCTGCGTGTGACATAACTTATAAGAGAGAGGCCTTTCAATTTTAATGACGTACTCCTAGATAAAAGTATAATCGTATTTGATTTCTATCTTAATACATTAGATAAGTAAATGTACGAAATGTTCATGCATTTAATACCATAAAGTAATAATCGAGTCGCTTATAAACCGTTGACGCTCGTTTAAATACTGTGTAACGATTTTTTTATCAAGCGTCGTACCCTTAGGTATCGAGTAGCTTCGATTAGTGGTTAATTGGTTCTGGTTAATTGATACTTTGGTGGGGGAAATATGTAAAGAGGATACAACTGAATAGTCTTTTGCCATACAACGATCCCCAGCTATGTCTTTAGTACTATAAGGTGGTATATGGCAAGCAACAAACACTTATTGGTATAAAACATGTAGTAGTGTAAGTTAACATTACATGGTAGGTATCTATTACTGATTTAATAAATAACCCGGGCCGTAATGTAATTATCGTATCAATAAGTCTTCCATATGAATAATAACTAATTCAAACCGTTACAAATTAAGGCGTCAATCCAACGCTTCCCATTTAAAATTATTCAAAGGCAGAGTGAGTTAAATAATACTGGTAATTACACTCATTAATTATTAGAACTAAACGAATCACTTTCCAAAGAATACGTAACGAATTAATTCAGTTTTTATTTAAACTTAACTTTATTCATATTATCAAACAAATTTTATTGTAGATGAGCTAAGTATCATTTTTTGTTTTAATATTTTTCCCGACACTTTCACCTTTGCCGGCTACTTAGATTGTTGATTGTGATAAACGATGCGATATTGTTATTCAGTTTTTGCTTTTAATCCCTCTTTATTAAGGTGGATAAAAATATGGCGACATTGCAGATTTTAAGGATATAATTTTAAGGCTTGTAAATTATCATTTACAGTAGTTTTTTACCTAACTGAATTTTGGACGTGCTCCGCCCACTGCTTTTTCATCGAATAGAAATTATTCAGTCCCCATCCAACCTTCTTCTATCCACGATATTTGATTCCTCCCAATCTTTAAAATAAAACAGAATGTTTCGCTTTTCCATATAGTCAATCATGTTGTTCAACTTACATATAAACATAAAGTTTTGTAAATCCCCTTTTTATGAGAAAAAAAACTAAATTGATAATCGTTTACACAAAGTGATTTCCAAGATATTGTTTTAAAATGTAATCAAATTTATTGAGTATTCTCTTCAATTGCTACATCACCACTAGGGCATTATTATGGAATAAAATTATGACATAAACAAGTTTTCGAACAGTTTTGCTAACAATCTTAATTAAAGTGAATATTAAACAATGTTATAAATAAATATAAGTATATATTGCGATACATGGTTTGATAAAACTATTTTACGCAATTTATCGCGTTTTAATTTGATTTTGAAATTCTCTTTCCGGCGCTCCTATGACCATGAACGCTGGAAAGGATAAGAAACGTCGGGAATTTAAAAATCAAATTAAAACGCGATCAAGTCTTAAAGTAGTTTTATTTAACTGTATGTATAAACAATAATATATAGGTATAATAGTAGGTAAAATAATATATTGGAATAGACCTCCTATGACTCGCATGTGACTTATGTCGTTACATTTAACACTTAATTGGCCAGGTTTTTATCGTTCGAATTCCGTAGCGTCGAAAGTTGTCGTCATTCACACTTTATGTTTAATCTAGGGCGCAGAAACTATCGCTAGGACTTAAAAATTAATAATACTCATAGAAAAAACAATCACCCGTTTTATTACTTTTTCTTCAATTCAAAAACGAACATCTGAAATGTTATGGATGAAAACTAGAAAATTTTAACCAATATAAAAAATATCTAAACAATTAGTATTTCATTTACGTATGCGTATTAGCACTGACAAAAAATACTTTTTTGTACCGCTTCCTCCTTTCTTTTAACATTTTAGTAAAGCGAATATTTGAAATTAGTTTGCTTGTCACGATTTCTATGTCTAATTCCGAAGACATTATTTCGTATGTTTTATTTCGAGGTCTTTTATGCATATGGTATACACGAGATACCGGTAGCAACATTATTAACAAAAAAAAGGGTCGCACATTTTATTTAGTACCGGTCGCACACAAGGGCGGATCCAGCTTTGGTGCCAGGGGGGGGGGGGTCACATAGTGTGTTAAGCGTGTTTGTAATCATACATAACATTATATTATATTAATTAAATACTGAAAGTACTTACATTAAATCTATATTGTGACATCAATATATTAAAACATTATGTTTAACAATTTTAATTAGTGATCCACCTAGGTCGTGGACCCTCCCCCTGGATCCGCCCTTGGTCGCACATTTCCTTTTATTTTCACACAAAACTTATTATAGTTCTCAATTGTGCCTGGTGTATTGCAGACTGGTCACCTGTGAGTTGTGAGTGTTGTTGAGTGAAAAATAAGATTTTTATAGTATCATCAAGATTCAATGCAAAAACAAAAGGGAAGAGATAACCAACCAACGCTTCACGGGTTATTAAATCAGACAACGTGATATTTTACCCTAAGCGAAGAGGTAGTTCACTTTTTAATCGGTTATAGAAACCCACAGACAGTCATAAATAAAAGGAAAATCAGGAATATATTATAATTATATAAAACGAATAATCAGGAATCACAAAAAAAACATAAAGGCAATTGTTTTGTTAATATTAGGAGTTCTAATATTAACGGTGCATTAACCAGGCCCCATCTCTCTAATGCTATTGCCCGCTCACTAGACGAAATAAAAAACCATGAATACTTCCACGTTACGGTCTTTGGATGCCGTGTCACTTCCACGGATTAGCCGGCCCAGTGTGCAACAGAAAATGCTGCGTAACTCTTCCACAGCAAAGAGCTCGTAGAGTTATTTAATTCAATCTTGTACAATCTTCTTCCTTGATCTTCTAATCTAGTCGTTTGTTAATAAGGACTCATCAACAAATCACATAGCGTGCTATGAGTGGACAGTATTAAACGTAGGTCGTACATATAATTGTGGCGATTTCTCTATGTAAAATATTCGGTATGGAAGTTAAGCCAAAATCAAAGGAGTGTTGTGGGGGACACGTTTTATTGTGTGCTTTGGAGGGTCGACAGTTGGGGGAGCGTGGGAGCTGCGATCTCGGCGGCGGTAATTACGAAGCACGGGCCACATCCCCGTAGTCGGCAGCTTATACTGTCACGTTTAGACCCGTTTCATTATCTCACCGCAAGCCAACGCAACATTTGTTCGAATCGATTGGAAAGGAAAGTTTTTTTACGGTTTTGTTTTAATTAACAGTCCGGCTTACCAGCGACAACATGATATCTAAGATCGCAATCACGCCTGTAGATGCTGTGAAGTTTTTCAAACAGCTTGTATTTAAACTTAAATTTAACTTTAATATATATTTACACAAGCGATAAAAAATAGTCTTAAGATAAACTTTTCATTGTCCGGGAGCTCGCTTTTAATTTAATAAACTCGAGCAACCTGAGTTCGATCAAATGAGATTGTTAATTTTAAGTGCTGAATTATCGCGTTGCTCAGCGGTGAAGGAAAACATCGTGAGAAAACCTGCATATTTTAGAAATAATAACAAAAAATATGTGAAGTCCGCTAATCCGCAATGGGTGCGCATGGTGAACTATGCTGTGATACCCTCTGTACCAAGGAGGCCTTATTACTTCATAGCATCTGAAATACTGAAATGATTTCCTATCATCTTTGGTGACGGTTATATGACAGCTCTCGAATAAACCAGCTTAACCAGGGAAGTAAGACGGCCACAAACATACTGGCATGAATTAAAAGTATGCATGCTTTTGCGTACGATTAGAAAAATAACGGGAAGCGAGCTCTTACAATTATATTATTGGCAACTCAGCTACATCTCTGGTTAAATAATTGTCCATTTGTCCATGAGTGACAGTCCTCATTAACCACTCGGCAACGCATTTATGACTCCTCTGGTGTTACGTATCTATGGGCCTGCCTTTTCCATAAAAAGACCGAAATAACAATATAATACGACTACATGGATTCGTCCCGAAATTACTTGGGGTATCTTCCTATCTTATTTGTTAAATATTTTAACACAATATTATAGCTATGAATGATTTAATCAAAAGGGAGATTCTGTTGTAAAATCATAAATCATTTGAAATAATTAGAAGAGAACAGTCGAGTAACAAATATATGTGGCAAATGTAACTCGTATAACTAGTTTTATAATATATCTGAAAATGTCATTAGGTATTATAAAATACTTGATTTTACTATAAAACATAATTCGACATACAATTTTACAATAGACGTATATTTAAGCTTAATTTTCTTTTTGTTTTTTTATAATAGAACCGTGTTCGATAATAAATAATGTAACTTACAAGGAGTCTCTTAAAAAGAGCAATTTACTTCACGACGTCTGTACAGGCGACATTGTTACAATCAACGAAATGGACCACTCAAACACTATTGAAGGGAAAATGTGTTACAATCCACGTTATATTTCTTCGTTCACTACGTTCTCTAGTCCATTAAGAGATTTGCGACCATTACTTATGAGTAATCAGACTATTTCTTTGTTTCAGATATTAAAATGGCATTTTCAAAATCCCGAACCAGTTGAACAGTAAGATGTGAGTTTGTCGCTATGTATTGAGACGTACATTATAAAAATGGAGGCTGCTTTACCACATTTTCATCGGCTTACGACGTCACGTTTCTATCAACAATATGCTGCTCCTCCTGTCCGTATTTCAAGTAACTATCTCCACGAACTTCTGCCGCAGCAACATCCTAGCCTCCTTCAACAGTATTTGGCATACTACAATGAGCCTCTGGTGCCTCTGGACTTATCCCTTAAAACAACATCTCCCATCACACCGCCCTGTACTCCACCGCCTTCGCTGAAACGGAAATCAACCGACGAACAAAAGCGATCACCGAAAATATTTAGACACTTCGAAGAGGACGATTCAAAGGATCATGCCGATGACAAATCCCAGAAAAGGCGGTGTGACGATGAAGACTCCAACGACAGCGACAGTCCCGAGGCTAAGAAATTGAAATTCACGAAACAGTTCTTTGAAGAGCTACGCACGTGCCTGCCCACCGAACCGGAAGCCTCTTCCAAGAGCGACGGGAGTTCCCCGGACATAGTTGAGATAAGAGATGTAGAGGAACGACCGAAGAAGTCTCCGAAACCACCACAGCCGATGAAGAAGAGCAAAGCGGTCAGACGACTGATGTTCGATGAAGACAAAACTTCCCCGGTATCCGGAACGATTATCCGTGATCTCGCTGAAGATGAAACGCTCGTTGTACGGAAGGTATATAGAATGCTAATAAAGAAAAGCTTATTATGTGTACTATTGTACACATGTAAGAAATTACACTTCTTTAGCATAGCAAAAGAAACTAAAAATGCTATCCCCTGTAAACCTTGTGCCAGCACTTTGTTTGTCAAAAAGATATTAAATGCCATTGATAACGGTTTAATTAAATAACTTAGAATTATAGATAAATGTTCAAAAGTTGTTATTGGTTGCCAGTATAATACCAAAAAGTTGGTCTTTTTGCAACCAACTTCATCATGTTGCTTTTTAGCTGTTCAAATACGCCAAAAGAAGTATAACTTCAAAATAATGTAAATGTAATGCTTAAAATATCAGGAGCAACAAACAAACGCCTCATCGGCAGTTCGCGTCGATAATGAATAGCAAAACTGCAGGGGAAATTCTAATTAGCTGTTCTGACCGTAGCATTACTGGACGCTTTCCTTATCGCGACGACAATTAAACGCTATGAAATCGCGTATTGTGTTGTATTTACGCTAATAACGGGTATTGGAACGAGTCACAGCGGTGGCTAAAGGGGTGGCGCTGTGGACATTAAGCTCGAAATAAATCACCAGTTCTTGCTTCGAAACCAACTCTTATTTTTTTAACATAGTGTTGCAACTGTAATAACTCATTGGAGAGCAATAAAACACCTCCGAATGGCGTGTAATCAGTTTACAATAGCACTATTTGAAGTTAACGATAACAATCCGAAATGATATGACAAAAAAAAACAATTTCATTCGGTGTTTTTATTTCTTTGTCCAGGTGCCAATTGTAATATTTTATACAGAAAAACTAGTAAGCTACTAAATTATATTATTGACCGTTCACGGAAAGTATTATAATTAATTAAAAAGCTATACATGCTGTCAATATGCTTATATTGATCGCTCTTATCTCCCGCATTTATACCACCCATTTCTTGACTAAAGTGATCGCAAACCTCAAAATACCAGACTTCACGTATATCGTGTAAATTAGAAAAGCAGGGAAGACTTTTTATGAGAGAAGGTTCTCAGCGAGTTCTAAGAAAACAGTTTCACCAGATAGTAAGTGGTCACCAAGGCCCTTAAGCTTCCGACATTCCGTGGCGTTCTAGCTACGTTGAAAATTTTCTCTAAAATGATGGAATCCGTTACCTCACCAAGTAGACGTTAGGCAAACGCGTTAATACTTCTAATTTCAACAGGTCTTGTCTTTTGTAAGGTTGGGGAACGAACTGGTGTATTCTCATTAAACAGCGCTGATGTGTCACTCTACCATAGCAGATAAAAGCTTAAAGGAGAATTGCAACTTCCTAAAGAACGTCATCGAAATTACAGTTTAGAGCAATGATATTATACTCAAATACGAGGTAGATATGACACTAGCACAACGAAACTGAGACACTCAAATTACGCCAACTGGTGTATTAGATTGCTATTATATAGATCTGTCTCTTTCCGTATCATACGTTCTATATCATCTGTCACATTAACATATTATATGTCATAAATTTTAAAGCAGAACAATTTTTAAACTCCACGCGGTATGGACATGCGTCATCTTTATTAAAACATCATTGGTTTATAGCAGCAGCACTCTGTTTTGGAGGATTTCAAGTCACCTAGTTTATTCATCGGTATTTTAGGGCGACATAGACCCAGCGTTCAACGTTGTGGAAGTAACGGAGGAGGCGAAGGCCCTCATCGCCACCATAGAGAACCGCCTCGGTCGCTACATATGCAGGCTGTGCCGTCGACTGTACAGCGACGCGTTCGCCCTCGCCCAGCATCGCTGTTCCAGGATCGTTCACATCGAATATCGCTGTCCGGAATGCGACAAGGTCAGACAACTACTTTAACTTCAACTGATGTTTTTGCTTTCAGACCGTAGAATAGGCTGCGTTCGACGAAGTTGTAGGCTAGACAGAACACTTGATACCTTGAGACGGCCCTCCGCTTTGGGCAGGACCGTGCATGTGCTCATGCGTGCCGTTTTTTAGAACGTATACGTCACCTACGAGCCATTGAGGTTCAGGACTGACCGTGAGTCCGATGACCGTTGACTGTTTTAATCGGTGGCTAGATGCAGAACTGGCGTTATAATATTTATTGTATATCATGTATAATCGTTTATTGAAATAAAAACAAACTTTTTTTTTCAAAAAAATTACCATTCTTTTCCCTAAAAAACAGAACTTGTTGACAACGCGGTAGTCATTCATAAATACCTAAATTTTAATGTTCAAGCACACAAAAGAACTTGTGTGCGTGTTTGTTAGGAATGATCGCCCGTAAAATAAATGAGTTACGTATAAATCACGCACTTTTTGAGATAAGTTCAAATGAATGTAATTAATTACTTAAAATATTTATCATTTTTATATAACATTATTTATGTCTAGAATTGAATAAAAAAAATGGATACACTTAGAAAAGCCTCCCTGTATAACCTATCCATTATACTGCCATAATAAAATTGGATAAGAATCAACACCGATTTTCCCAGGAACCGGTGGACCTAGCAAGTTGTAATTTATACTCATACCAGATACAGCAGTCTATAGTCCCCATTAGGTGCATAAAAATCAAGGCCAAAATAAATTACAGTGATGGCTGGTTACAGATCAGATTTTTACTACTACTTTCATTCTACAACTTTTTTTATTAATTAAAGGCATAAGGAAAACAAATGACACAAATTAAAATTTACACATATGTAATAACAGTGTTATTTAACGATTTTACATAATAAAAATAATAATTAATTTACACTTATTTTATTAACACACAGTAGGTATTTGTATTTAAATAAATGCAACATTATTTACATGTACTTACATCACAATTATAGCTACAAATTAACAAGTAACAAACATAGCATAATGTGATTTTCAATTGTTAACCATCCAAAAATGCCCAATACGCCTAAAGAAGTTTTCATTTGAATAGCTATGTTTTATAACAGCAACTCGTAATAACACCATCACACACTAAACTCATATATCACCCCCAATTGTTCCTCGTTAAATATCAACAACACCGCTTAAAATTTCTCACACTCATTATTACCCCCCAACCCCATCAAATTAACAAATACAAATGAGCTATCATCGTTTATACTCAGACTCCGATGCTCTCCACTGGGAAAAAACACGTAAAATAATTAGAGTCGAGCGGTGTGGGAACACGTTAAAGGGGGGCACCGCAATTGTAAACACTTGGCAAGTTTCCATGGGAAGCGAAAACCACATGAGCTGGCAAAATGTTTTCACACCTTAATTGGTACATTAGATGATGCGTGACTAGTGATACTTATGCAGCTGTTATCTTATAATTATGTATCTTAATCATCTCGGGCAATTACAATGCGTTTGGACGTGTAATTAAACTGTTTTGCACTAGATCAAACGACGTATTGTTCTAAAATTAACAACTATTATATTATCGTATTGACTATATCTTTTGCGTTGTTTTAATCACGTGACATGTTAAATTTTTTTTTATTTCATTCGTAAAATCCATGCAACTATTCATTACGTTGCGGTTCGTGTTTTTCATTAAAAACGTGGCACCATATTAGAATAAAATTATATAATTAATTAAATTATATAATTATATATACTTATAGTTTATTTTTTCTATGTGACTGTATAGACAAAACACATATATCAACAGTCCTCTTTTTATACGTCTTGTAAATACTTTTTCAATGCCCGGACCGAAACCAGAAATAACTTTGCCACTCAAGGCCTCTTATTTACTGAAAGCTATAAAAAAGCAAATGACAGAAGGCACTATTTTAATTGCTAGAAACCCTATATGCAAATATTACCATCCCTTCTTCAAAGGTCGACAATGCATTTTTGACTGCTGTGGCGATAGGGTGTAGGGTACTTGCTCGTTTGCTTCCATAAAAAGACAGCAGTAGTATAAAATTAATTATTCTTAATCCAGGTATTCAACTGCCCCGCAAACTTAGCGTCACATCGCCGTTGGCACAAGCCACGGGTGCCCGGTACCAGCAAACGTCGGGAGCCGCCGGCGACGGAGGCCGGCCGATTCCCTTGCCAACGCTGCGGCAAGCTTTTCAGGAGGCAGGCTTACTTGAGGAAGCATCTGCTTGCCCACGAGCATGAGCAAGACACGGAGGTGGAGAAGGAACCATCGGCGTTCCGCCAGGTCCATCCAGACTACTCCTCCTATCAGCCGGTAAGCGATTACGTATAAAGGTTGACACGACAAAACTGTAGAGTAGTCATTACGAGATTGCAGATCCTTTTTAACGTTCTATAATATTTATTTAAATAATAATTCACGTAAAATAATCATATAATACATATAACGAACAAAGATTACGCCACATACCAAACCAATCATTAAACACAATCGCTGCACATAGCACAAAATCTAGACGGGAATCAACCTGTTTTTTTAGCTTTTGTGACGGAACAAAAGTCTTGAAAGAAAGATGATGTAGATTAAAGACGTTGCGAATTTCGTCGGTGTGGCAATCAGCCGTTCAGCTTAGTTAGCCGTAGCTAGAGCTCCCGAAGGCGTGGGTTCGATTCCCACAGGGGTGGAAGTCTTTTCGTTCCTTTTCCCTACAAATTTTAATTACTAAACCCTGTCTTCAGGAGGCGTGTCGTGACGGCGACTATAGCTCCTTCTGGAGCAAGATTCCGCCGCCGCAGCATGAAGTCTCGTGGGAGGAGGCGCGCGGCCGCTGCCCCTCGCCCTGCTCCTCAGAAGACTCGAGGAGCCTCGACGTCACGGGCTCCGAAGACGAGGGCGTCGAGGATGGCTGACGACGCGTGCTGCGGCCCGTGCCGCGCTTCCCTTATCCGGCGAACCACCCCGCGTTCTACCACTACCCCGCCGCGTACGGCCACGATGGCGCACGCTTGTACTTCTCTTAGGGCGTAAGTAATTTAGAGGCACTTTCCACTGCGGGATATAGTATATCACAATTCGGGGTTCCGCACAGAAATGGGTCAGAAGGGGGGAATCCCTTGTAGCGTCATTTTCTGTAAAAATATACGGTAGACCGTTCGCTCCGAATAAACATTTTAGTCTCGGGACGTAAGTATTGAGAAGAAATAAATATTAAATATTTAGAGTTACAATTCTTGGCAATGCAAGCATTCAAGGCAATCGTAAGGTTCCAAGTTTCAATGTAATCAAAATATGGTAATTTATGAACAAATTTTGATACTCGCCCACCCAATTCCCTCTTTAAAACGCACAAACAAACGTCCCGTTGAACTAGAATCATGAAGTTTAATAAGATACAATGTTTTAAAGTACGTAAAATTAAAGGAAAATACCCGAAAAATTATTTATTTACATCCATCGTATAACATAGAGAAGTTAATGAGGAACCTTCCGAGGGCGCTTCCTAATCGCCCTGCTCAATTTTGTTTTCATAAAAGTGACTCCCGTGCTACCCTATGTCACGAAAGTTAATACCAATATTAAAGCAACAAATTTTTCGTTAGTGCGTCATCACTTAAACCATTGTTGTATTCTTGGACTTAAAAATATCTTAGAATATAAATTAACATCACACTAAACTTAGTATGTAGAATATTAATATTTGCGATATACTTAAATTCACATTTCCATCTATTTCCTGATTTACCCGCGTGGCCCACAAGTAAAACTACAATACCAACTGATTCGATAGAACTTATACATCTTTGTGTAAAGCGTGGGACATAATTGATAGCGATATGGCATATATTATATCTCATTGTGAAAAGCCGGCTTAATTCATTCCGAAACCAAGTTACAACGGAAACGAATTAACCTAGACCTGTCTCGCTGGGCTTACAATCGGTTGTCACATTATATATCTCTGTATATTTATGTAGAGAGCATGTAGGTTATAAAAAAAATAATAATAAAAAAAAATATAAACATTCATGTAAGATAGTCATAGTACATTTAAGTTGACATTGTCATTAAGTGGAAGCTATAAATTAGTTTGTATATATCGATTTGACTTACATGTATATAATATGTTTCTTAATTTATTTTAAGCTTAGTTATTTATTGTGTACATACTGTACTCCTACAGCAACATTCCAAATTGTCGTGAAGCTGAAATGTCAAACATTTATACAACTTAATTAAGTTTATGAAGCAAAACGCAATAGCAATTAAGTTATTGGTGTATATATATGGTATCACATTTTTTTCTAGTATGATGATTAAGTATTTATATATAGTTGTATAACATAGTATAATATGGACTTCACTTTCTTATTGAGCAGCAAGCACTCATTAAGAAAGTGAAATATATCTTCGGAAAGAGAAGTCACTACGCCTATTACAATACAAAAATCGAAATAAAAATGCACGTAATTGTTGCACACCGTATACAGCGTGTCGTTACAACCGCGACAATAAATGAACACACGTCTAACGCTACTTGCTAATAATCATAAAAAATATAAAACGTTAAAAAAATTCAAAATTAAAAAAAATATATTTTTCAAACAAACTAATTAAGTAAAAAAGAAACAAAATTTGTAACATCCTATACATCTACAACTGACTGATTCATAATTATATTCAGAGACTTTTTCGTTCGTTGCCAAAACGTCGCATTACAAGTCTCTCCTTCTAACGGATGATTTCACTCTTTTAAATTCATTCAACCCATTCATATGCTTTGTGACCTTTACAAATGAACTTTTACAGTTTTGTACGTAAGGATGTTCTAAAAATGTTTGTTTTGTAAGATTTAATAACTCGGTAAATACTGATGTTTAATGAATGTAAATGCTTAATACAATTTTAAAATGTTATCCTCTATATGTGTGTTCATTTATCGTCGCGGCTGAAACGACACACTGTTATAATGTTAGAAATTACATACTTGTTAACAATAGTACTAATGTTTTTAATTTTCGTAAATACATGTTGAGTCATTTTGAGTCCCACTATAAAACTCCCGCAATTTTACACTAGCATCTAAAAACATTAATCACACCTGATCTGATCCATTCGTAGGTTTTGTTAATAAATCGTAAAACATTTTAAAATAACGCCTCAGCTTTAACTTTGATAACGAAATAATGCAATATATCTTCGTTAATTTTATTACGCCAATGAAATCCCTTCCGTCTTTCATTCATTTCTTTGGATGATGATGATCGATTAATCAAAAATCGGTTTGGGTACTTTGGACGGATAGCTGATGTCTCGCTATCTTTTGCCAGAAGACCTACATCGCTGGGTGAAGGTAAGGCGTAAGCTAAGGTTCCGAAATGCGTTCAACGAAGTGTGAATATTTCTGAGCCATAGCTCACTTTCTTATGACAGTAATTGCGAAGGGTCACCGCAATCGATCCGATAACCGAGCATATTTTTAGATGCACCGTCCGACTTGCTACCATCTCATAATTCTTTCAGCGCCAACCGTACGTCGGAATTGAGGCGATTGACATGCAACCAGGCCGATAACTAAAAGTAGAATTGTAACTATTCAATTCCCGTTACAACTAAAGCCGAATGCCTTTAACGCATACTCCGGATGCCAGAAAATTCGTTTTTGAAAATTGAAAAATGAATCTTATGAATAACTAAAATTAATTAATAATTGCTTGATAAGAAATTAATATTATCGCCTTTGCTTACAAAAAACGCAGTGAGGCAAAAATAAAGTCGATATAACGTCTAGTCATTTGGTAGGTTAGTTTTTAATTCATTTACGGAATATATATTATTTATTAATCATCTTCTAGTCATAAACAAAGTTTTCATTTTATATACATTTTTATTTAATAAGCATATAAGTTTTTTGCTTGAGTGATACAAAAATATGCATAAAATTTAGTTTTAGCAACTTAAGGACTCATAAATCTAAGTAAGTCTGTCTAGTCATTATTGGCAATCTAGTCTGTCTAGTCATTTATGTGTCACGAAATTAAAACACAACTACGTGATAATTTTCTATACAAATGTAAACTCTAGTCAATTTTACATTAAAATTTGTAGAAAACGTGCGAAAAGATCGTCGCCGCTGTGGGAATCAGCCGTTTAGCTTAGTGGCTAAAGCGGCAGGTCGCGAATGCCGAAGACGTGGGTTCGATTCCCACAGCGGCGACAATCTTTTCGCACTTTTTCTACTAATTATAATGTTCAATCTTAAGTGCAGATTAGCACTATAATTTTTTTTTATTCTAGTCAAACTTCGTATAATAATGAATAAAAAATGTATTCTTTTGGAATCTAGTCACTAAATCTATACTAATACTAAATCTAGTCACTAAATTTAAAAGAACAAATTTATAACATACAACAACATTCTAGTCTCAGTTGATCTCGAGTATTTCCCATGATATAAATATATTTACAATTTTTAACAAACAATGCCAAAGATTTAATTAGTGTCGGCCTTGATGCATGTTTTGCACATTTTAAATATCTACAAGAAAATTATATATAATTGTTTGTTTAAATCTTCCGATAGATTGCGGTGTCTTTTAACTTACTTCATCTTACTTCTTACCAGACTACTACTTCTTACCAGAAGTGCGTAGATTTAGTAGATGTTTAAATTCATAATATATTTGAACAGGCATATTTCCTATTCATACATGTAGTATTAATAATAAAAATATTACACGGCACTAAAATAGCTATAATGTAAATATTCAAAATATAATTCTTCTTTTAGCATTAGATAAATGAGAGAAAACCTTTATTACCCATAAAGAAAGTCTCTGTGGAGTGAACTCTAGTCAGTGTGTTTTTGCAACGCGTTCCAAAGAAATGTATATTAAAACGCTATTTAATATAAATGTCTATTTAATTTATAATTTTAAATAATATATTTTTAAACATAAGTTAATCGCAATATTTCAAAATTAAATACGTTTATTAAAAACCTAAATACGTTATAATTTACATACTAAAATAAATCAAACCTCAGCTTTTTTATGTCGTGGGCTAATAAATTTATTATATATTTATTTTTATAGTAAAGCTTGAAATCTAGTATAAATAAAAACTTTCTTTTCATAACGACTTAATATAATCCAATATATTATTTATATCTGGATGTATTTAATTCACATATTTATTATCTTTCTATGATTTTTGTATATTGTTGGATTTATTTAATTATACATGTTATTAAAATATTATATACTTACATAATTATTATAAATATAAAATTTCAAAATAACTAGATTTAAAATATCGTGTATATGTGTTTTATTTTCTATTTAGGGATACCGTTTGACGTGAAATTAAATTAAGTTATAATAATTTAGATTATTTTAGGATTAAGCCATAAGAAACTATTAACATGAGGTAAATACAAGGACGATACGACAAAGGACGACAGATATAAGAAAATAAGATATTGTTTGTTTGATTTTTTTAAGGAAATTAGATAAAATCCAATCAATTTTTAGATATAATCACCACATTATATCGGTGAGATATAATTTAAAAATTATTACCACTGTCAAATTTAATTTCCGATCCCCTCAAACAAATTATTTATAATTGTAATTCCACTAGTGACCAATTTGGCTTTTACCTATTGAATTAATAATTATCTGCACAAAACTGTAAATAAGTAGGTACTTACTATGGCAATATGATATGATATGATAATAAATAAAGTTAATAAATAGCTTTCTTGCTTTGCGGTATCTTTTGAATGTATAACGTAACAGGTACAAAATATGTTAACTTTGAAATGTCTGTTGATTATCTGAAAAATGTTATCTATATTCTTAACCCTGACAATGAATGTTCTCGTTTCTGGAAATGTATTGTATTTAGT